CAATAATCCACATACTAAAAATAGAATATGCCAAAGGATTTTGTAGCACCTTTGAGACAAACTGAAAGAAAGAAGCCAGTAGCTTGAGCTTTTGTAGCACGCCTCTGAGGAAGTAGGCCAGGGACTGGCAACCAAATGTGTCGTGACCAAGGGTCCCCCCGGGAGGCTTCCCTCGGTGGCGATGGGCCTACTGGAAGCCCATCGCCACCGAGGGTCCCCGGACTTACCGGCCCAGGAGGACTCCTGCTGCCGCGCTGCCGCGCCGCCTCCGCCTCCACCTCCACCACCGCCACCGCCGTGGCCAGCATTTTGTTCACCAAAATGCTGGCCGTGACACATTTGCGCATGCGCAAATCCTGTGCATGTGCAAACGCGTTGCGGCCGCCATTTTGGTGAACAAAATGCCGGCCGCGGTGGAGGCGGTGGCGGAGGCAGGGGTCCTCCTGGGCCGGTAAGTCCGGGGATCCTCGGTGGCGATGGGCTTCCAAGAGGCCCGTCGCCACCGAGGGAAGCCTCCCCGGACTTACCGGCCCAGGCGGACCCCTGCCGCCGCCTCCGCCGCCGCTGCACCGCCCCGCCACCGCTGCCGCCTCCGCTGCCGGCCATAGGTTGCCGACCCCTGAAGTAGGCTCAAGTCTATGATAGCTCATGCTACTAGTGTCTTTCAGTTAGACTCAAAGGTGCTATAAGATCCCTTTACATATTGATTTTCCAGATTAGCATGGCTATGTCTTTGAATTAAAAATACAAAATCATTTGAAAAACATACAAAAGTTAAATCAGGGGTAGGCAACCTTTCCCCTTTAAGGGCCGAGGGACTTCAGCTCCCAGAATCCCAGGAGCTATTGACCAACATGGGACTATTGGCCAACATGGCTGAGGCTTCTGGGAGCTGAAGTCCCTTGGCCCTTAAAGGGGAAAGGTTGCCTACCCCTGAGTTAAATAAATAAAACATGCATCTCAGTCAGAAGCTCTCTTGCTTACACTTTAACAAGCCTGCCTAAAAAAAAGGATTTTTTCAGCCCACAAAGTCGGGACTGACACGAAGGCAGTTAACAACAAAAAGGAGAGCAGGAAGAGGGCCAGCCTACCCTCCTGTGGAAGAGGAACCCAGAGGGCGAGAGCAGCCACCAAGAAGGCTCTTTCTTGTATCCTCACCAAGTGTGCCTGCCTATGATAGTGGTGGGACTGACTGCCCAGCTTCTCTGCTAAGGGTAGCAATGTGATATGAGAGGGTTCTGTTTTGCAAGTTGTCCAAATTTTTGAATTCTTTTGTGTAGTGCAAATATAGTGGTGTGGTGGACTCTACAGGGAAAAGAACATTGGGAAGAATTTCCTGACACTAAGAGCTGTTCGACAGTGGAACAGGCTGCTTCCTTGGAGGTTTTTAAACAGAAGCTGGATGGCCATCTGTTGGGGATGCTTTGTGTCTTCCTGTATGTCAGGGGGTTGGACTGGATGGTCCTTGTGGTCTCTTCCAACTCTATAAGCAGTCTTGGGTGCTGGGCTGAGGAAACCAAAAACATCCAGGATATCTCTTGTAATATAGCTGTGGGTACTGCTTTACAGTATTTACAAATTATTACTTGACTATCTTTCCAGGATTAGAAAATTAGAAAATGCATGCGTCTTATTTTTTTAAGTTTTAAAGCACACCAGCCTGTTACTGCTGCACTATATGAAAAAAACAATAAACAAACAGGCCTTTAGCTAAATACATTACAAGTCAATTTTTTTTTTAAAAAAAAACCTTTATTGATCTTGATAAAACAATTACACAAACCTTAAAAAACAAGACACCCAAAAAACACACCACTATCTGTCTGTCTGTCTAAACATTAAGCTACACAACATATAATTGCATCCACATTTACAAAAAACAAATCAGAAAAAAACACCTAAAACAAACAAACAAAAAACACCACATTGTCTTAAAAGGTAACCTTTTAAGATGCCAGTTCTGATGGTCATAAAGGTTGGCAGTTCAAGGCCTGGGTGCTGCATAATGGGGTGAGCTCCCATCACTAGTCCCATCTTCTGCCAACCTAGCAGTTCGAAACCATGCAAATGCAAGTAGATAAATAGGTACCACTTTGGTGGGAAGGTAAACAATGTTCTGTGCAGTCATGCTGGCCACACGACCATTGGAGTTGTCTTCAGACAACACTGGCTCTTCGTCTTAGTAACGGAGATGAACACTGCCCCTACAGTTGGTTACGACTAGACATTCATGTCAAAGGAAAACCTTTACCTTTTACCTTTATCTAAATAAACAGAGACTGCTATAGAACAGGAAGCATCTTCATCTGGCAAATACTTCTGACATCGAGCAGCCACAAACTATGATGTATGAATATTCTTTCTGATTCTGGCAATAGGCTTAAAATGTGCTCTTGAAGTAGTAGCCTCCTCTTTTTCCTCGTTGTCCATCAAGAGTCACCTTTGGGTCACTCATGTATTTCTCCATGGACTGGGATAGTAGAGGCTCTGATTTCATATTCAACAAAACTTGGAAGTGTGACTTTATCTGTATCATAGCATTCTCCTAAACAAGATTGTGGGAGTTTGCTGCCATCCTGTGTGCAAATGGAGCATAACACCAACCAAATTATTTTTGTTTGTTTGTTAACTGATGAGACATCTCAAAGGACGTTATCACACGGGGAGTCG